CCTTGCCACTGGCACAGAAAGAATTGTACCTGGTGTGGTCTGTGCACTTTCAGGGTTCAGGGAAAGGAGAGAGGGTCTGCCATGATACATAGTGTTCTGGTGGTGCCTTAGGTTGTATTCATCATGCTCTGGGGCAAAAGGCTTTGAAGAGTAAAAATCAGTTGCCAAAGCCTTTTGTAGGTCCAGGGGAAGTAACCTTTACCTCTGATTTTTTTCTGTGCTCTATAGTATGCCCATAATCCTCCAAATTCAGAGGGTAATGGGGAGCCACATTTCATTGCATGGTCCATCTGTACATTAATTTGGGTGGTATTTCTGGTTTAGCTGGGCCTCTGACCTTGGAGTGACCTCTCCACCTGTGCAGCTAGCACAGAAAGAACTGTGCAGCCTGTGGCTCCGAGGACAGAAGACCAACCTCAGAGCCAGAGGCTTCTGGGCTTTCTGGGGAAGTAGGAAGAGGAGGGGATGGCTCTGCCAAGATATACAATGATCCTGGTGGACAATGATCCAGCTTGTTTAACTTGTACTCTGGGACAAAAGGCATATATGGAATTAAGTCATACAAGTCTTTTGAGGGTTTCTTCTGCCCTCAACAGGATATCTATAATCCTCCAAGCCTGGAGGATACACTGGATTTCACTGCTAATGTATATACATTTATTTAGGTTATTTTTGTTTAGAAATTTCAAAGCTGGCTTTCTCCATTTCAGTCACTTCAAATGCATGGCAGTCCTGCAACTTTCATAATGTTCAAGTATACACAAATCCTGAAAATGGCTCTTGTATACATGCAGAGGGCACTGGTAGAAATTCAGAAAGAAAATTTCAATATTCTAAAAATGCCAGATTTAAAAACCAAATGCTGTGCTGCTCATTTGTGCATACATGAAGGTAATTATAAAGTTGAATTACCCACTTAACTTGGCTACATTTATACAGAAAATGTGATCTCTTAGGCCAAGCCTGGGAGATATAAAACTAAACTGCTCATGACAATAGGCAGTATGAAGCATGGCACATAAATTATAGCTTAACAAAGCAGAGCCCATTTGTTCCCATTTTACCCCCCCCCCCCCCACACACACACACAAGTTGATAAACACATCAGGAAAACAAGAGTTTTGTGCAACACTGAAAGCCAGGGATTTGGTTTATTAAACCCAAACAAGCCAAGATTTCAAGCCCTCCTTCAACCAGGTTTTGACTTGTACATCCTGGTTAGACTAGGCATCATAAACCGCAAAGTCAGTTTTAAACATCATATAAAGCACTTTTTCCAGGTTTGTTTCCTCCTTGCATGAACAAAGAATGCACCACATGCTGCTTATCCACATTCCTGTATATTAATCCATAATGCATGGTTTATAAAAGATGCACAAACATAGCAATGATTTTGGTAAGTTTTAAGAGTCATGAGACAATGTCAGTTCACAACACTGCTCCTTTAATTCACTGACTTGTCACAAGCTTTAGGTGAAATCCACTTCTATTAATACAGAGCCTACCAGAAAATATTTTCTCTCTAATACATGCCTCTAATGTAGCACTCTTTATGGTATTTTCTTTCATCACATCTTGCATCTCAGTAACAGTCCTGGTAAACATAAGACCATTTATCAAAGTTAAATCATCATGCTAATCCACAGTTGCTTTAATTCATATACTGCCGATTTCTGCATTGTTGTGATGTTTGAACCCAGTTGCTGTACTATACTATTGTTTATGAACTGCAACAACCCAGAAAGAGAACTCACTGGGCCAGTTTGCATGATACACTGGGATTGTCGGAAGTCGTTTAACCTGTGATGAATCACATCATGTGCTGCACACTATTTTAAATATGCATGTCATGTGAACCCAGCCACTGAGGGTTATCTGAAATAAGCAGTGGCTTTATATTCAAAATGTTGCTCCAGCACACACTGTAGTTTCTTGTGAACTAAACAACCTCCAGTGAACCTTCATGTTGCATGAACTAGATCATGATTTGTTGTTGGGATGTCGACTGTTTTAACCATGGGTTGCTCTTATATGTGAATCCAAGACTCTGGGCTGTTCATGGGTTGTTTTGACAAACAATACAGGGAACAGGCAAATATGGTAAAAACAGCCACTACCACAACTCTGCCTACCAGCATTGTAGTAGGTAGAGGCATTTAACATACATTGGAGTTGGTGAAGAAAGAAAACAAACAACCTAGGGGTTGAGGAAATAAACCATGCTTTGTTTGATTATTTGCCCGATATAGTCTAGGTAGGGCAATAAATCAAGGGTTAAATAAATCAAAAGTGTTATGCACAAGTCAGGTCCATGAGTAGTAGCCCCACCACCAGAATTTATCAAAAATCCAGCACATGGGCAAGTCCTGAATATTGTAGTGAAAATATTGGCAGTTTTATTTAAATTTGTCAGTCTTTCACCATATTACTATAGGACAGGGAGGAAGAAAACTTCTCCATGCTGTATGTTAATGTCCATTAAGTATTAAATGTAAAATAAGAAGATAGCTGTTTTCTGGAACACTTACAAGCACAAAGGCATGTATATATAATAAACACAATTAACCTTATGTTGTTTTGCAACCCCATACATCAGGGACAGACAGTAGATCTTCACGGTTTTGCACTTCAACTCCCAAAAGCGCATACCAGCATAGCTAATGGTCAGAAATGCTGTGGAGCTGAAATCCCAAACATTTGAAAATCGCCTATTTGCCTGCTCCACCATACATAAAGAAATCCAGTATGAACCAAAATGTTCCATATCAAATCCTTCTCTGCATATAGACTGGGAGAACTCAAAACAGCAGTAAGTAAGACCCTTTAGTTCTTTCCAAAAGATGAACAATCAGGAAGCAGACAGCCTATCTGAACACATTTCACAAAGAGAAAAAAAAGGTTGCACCTATCATGTATTTTTAAAAAATTCCATCCAAAATGCATTTTATAAGGCTTGCATAAGTGACATTGTTAACTCCAAAATCACTTTAAATAGAATCAGATTTGAGTGGGAAAAGGTGAAATAAATAAAGTGATCTGCAAATTCACATCAATTATACAAAAATGCTAGTAACAAAACATTGAAATAGACTATTACTTCTGGATGATGGTAGAGCATACCATGCTGTAGAAAATGCTACTATGTGGCTAAATATAGCACCTGGACATAACTTCCAGCAGATAGTTCAAGAATGGCTATTGTGGAGACATGGCCCTTGAAGTATATTATTCCTATAGCAAAAACTTGTATGTGCAGGACTTTTGTACAATTTATCTAATAGAAAACAAGGCAGGTTTTCAAATTATTCACTTTCTGTTCAACAAGAATTGTTTATTGCTTTCCTTGCCCTGAATCATCTTCTTTCTCCTTCTATATTCTATCAAAATAGCTTAAGTTTTATGAAATGAGCACATCAAAGGTCCATCATTTGCTTATTCATTCTTGAGGTTCAATTTATTAGCATTTCCAGGTTAAAGGAGATTTGGTTAAGTTGTCAACCCACTTGAGTGCTTCCCATCACAATCAACATCGAGAATGTTATTCCTCATCTAAAGAGTTTCAGTGACCATATCTGGCCTGGTCACAATTCAATTCATATTAATGACATCCCTGATAATACAGAATCAGACCCAAATCTTAATTTATAAGTGGCTGACCTGTGTTAATCCTTTGATGCTGATAATTATTCTAAAGGTCGAGATCAGAAAAGGGTTTTGCAGTTCCTTTCCCCCTTTTGTCACATTAGCTAAACGCTCATTTTTTTTCTTTGTCAAACCAAAATTACACCTTCCTTGAAAAAGGAGAGCGGTGCTGAAGATGCTCAGGCATCCATTCAAGGCATAGGCTGTGCAGCCCCATCTTTTCACTTTCCTCAGTCAGTCAATGAATTACGTGGAAGTTACAGATTGAGGGTGCAATCCTATACACATTCACATGGGGCCAAGCGCCACTGAGAAACCATTCAACCTCCTTAACCTGCAGGAGGCTTGTTTCCCCACCCACCGACCCACTTGCAGTACCCCATGAAGAAACCAAATTGTGCGAAAGAAAAGCTTCCTCTCAATGCAACACAAAAAGTGAGACCTCACTCATGTCTGGCGGCAGCCTTCATTCACCACAGCATTGCCATCTATGCCAAAGGCACCTCATGAACTTTGCCTGCCGTGTGGGATTTCCTTGCAGCATCCCTCAAGGTTCACATTACCAATTCTCTGCGACCTTTACTTACGTATTGGTCTCTGCCAGCAGGCACATTTTTCTCAGTGGGAGTTAAAATGTTACTCTTGCCATGGCAAATTCTCCCTGTCTGTTGAAGATATTTATTTGGGAAGAAGCACTGAAACAACCTTACATTCCCCTCACAGATATTCCCTCACGGATATGCCATCCCGCAATGTTAAGAGTTACATGACAGTGGTGTACCATGGGGTAACACAATCGCTCAGCCAATCCAAAATGACCAATACTGGTGTACTTATGTACTGGTCTCTTCTTTCTTTGGAACAGCTTCAAACCTCAAGCAAACAACCTTCCTCTATCCAAGTATTTTCCTGTGTGACAATGCGCACCATCCCTGACACAGGAACACACATCTTCCCCAGCAACATTTTACCCTAGACACCGCTTGCCAGTTTTGCACACATTTGAATTGTTCTTTGTCTGCAAGAATACTGAACTGTTGAAAGCGCAGCTCCACTTGGGATAAGGTTTCCCAACCTTTCCCCAACACTAAATTGATGTATTTTCTGGTATGTATTTATCCCAAACTGCTTCAATGCATAAAGCGACACCTCTCCCTAGGTAAGACTCGCCAGTGCTCACTGGCGCTGGGTGCATGTAAGATTTACGAGGAGTTTTTTTTTTTTCTCCCCCCACCTCGAATTTGACGATTTGGTGGTCAGACTCTGTTCCAGCGTCCGAGTATCTTCCCTCTGGGGGCGGACAAGCAGGCGCGTGGGGGGGGGGGGGTGCTAAGGTGCGATTTTAACCCCTGCCTTACCAGAGCTCAGCTGCATCCAGGCACAGATCTTGTAGACGGTGGCGGTGTTGCAGAAGAAGAAGAGAATGAAGCAGACGATACAGGCGATGATGAGCATCATGGAGAGCCCGATGAAGAAGGAGGCGGCTTTGAAGGCTCCCGAAGGGAGGCTGGAGAAGTCCGTGAAGCTGCCGTGGCAGTTGAGTTCCCGGGAAAAGCCGCTGCCCGTGCAGAAGTGGAAGAGACCGAAGTAGCCCGCCTGTGGGGTGTCCACGCCGTCGCCGATCCAGTACGGCTGGAAAAAACACACCACGTTGACGATGGCAAAGCAGATGGTGAAAATGGCCCAGAGCACGCCGATGGCCCTCGAGTTCCGCACGTAGTTGGTGTGGTACAGCTTGGCCGCCTCCTGAGCAGGGAGCATCCCTCCAGCCCCCGCCGCCACCCCCGAGCCTGCCGCCGGCGCGGCTCCCCCGCCAGAGGCCGGCGCCGCGGGCGCCGCCACCGCCGCTCCGGGCATCCTCGCCGAGAAGAGCCCCCTTCGGAGTCGCCCCGTGTGCCGCAAACGCCAGCCCCGCTCCGCCCAGCTTCACCCGCTCAGCAGCGGCTGCATCTCCTCTTCGCGGGCAGACGAGCGCGCCTCTCTCCGAAGCCCTCAGGGCGGGCGGGCTGGTACGCGGGCGTCGGGTGCGACCGCGGAAACCGCGCGCCCTCCTGCCTGCTTTTCTCCCTGCTTGCTTCTGAATGAATGGAAGGATGGACCGGGCGAGCTGGTGCCGACGAGCGAGCGCGGCAAGCACACTAAACACTCCCCCTAGCGCAGCTCTGTGCGGGCGAGCCCGGCTTCCCCGCTGCTCTCTGCTGTTGCGCAGTCGCGCCCAGGCGGCAAAAGGGAGAACGAAACAGGAAGGCGCCGCTCACTCCAAGGCGAGCCACCGCGGAGGTGGAGCTGCCTCTGAAGTGAGGCAAAGGCTGAGGAGAGAAAAGGGGGAGGGGGGAAGCCAGGGATTGTGGGAAAGGAATTCTGGGTCTCCCGCAGACATTCCTGTGGCGGTGGTCGTGGGGAGGCCCGAACAGTAGGAGCAGGTCACGTGTTGAGCGGGACCCGCAGGCAAAGGACAGGTGGGCTTTCCTGTGTTAACCGTTTAAATTAGTTTAGAACCGGAGTAGGCAACCTGTTGCCCTCCGCATGTTTTGGACTCCAACTCCCATCACATCCGCCCAGAATGGCCAATTATGAGGGGCTGTGGGAGCTGTTCGAAACACCTAGGGGGCACTACTCCTACTTGAGATCCTAAAGTACAGAGAATAGGCAAGGAGGTGTCCGTGGGTGCCTTCCTTGGTGCTCACCAAGATGTTCTACCCCTAGAACTTTGGATTTGCTGAGAAATAGGTGTTGGGGCTTAGCCCTCACCTTTTCCTTGTATTCAGTCTTCTGGCCAGATTACTTGGCTTTTGCAACATTTCCCATAGTCATTGTTGTGGTAGTGCCCAGGATAGTTTCTCAAATTCGCAAATGTGCCCATGTTGTAAAACATGTTGCTTGCTCCAGCTCTAGTAAATGAAGGAAGGGAGAAATACTGAACATAATGCACAATCTCATAATGCCCAGCATGTGGAAGGTTTGGTGCACCTGTTGAATGAATACCAGTCATACACCTGTTACAAGCAGAGATGATGGGTACATATGTAAATGAATAACAGATGTTGGTCACTGGAATACCTGGCTTCTTTCTGAATTGCCATAGGAACACACTGAATTTCTGAACAATCATCAAAACAAAGAAAGATGGCTCGAATACACTGTGAATATTATGGACCTTCTCTGACTGTGAGAATAGAAGGCATATTCCCCTTCAAACAGAACACTGGAAGATCATTGCATGAAGGCATGAGAGAGACTCAGCATACTTTTGGGGGTGCTGAGCATAACATGATAACAGCCCAGAAATGCTCAGAATGGTGACTTTGGCTGGAAAACTGATCATTGCATGCAACCCTAATGTGTGTTAATATGAAAAGAACAAATATTACAAATAAAACACAAAAAGCTTTAAGAAAAAGAGCATTGCAGATCAAAATATACAAAAAGAAACATTTCCTTAAAAAAATCCCTCCAGACTCCAAAAATATGTTGAGAGAGTCAGACAAATATCTTTAGTAGAATATAAAAACATCTTGCTACAAATTAAATTACTCTCTGAGAAGAAAGGTCTTTATATTGTGTCAGAAGGCCATCAAAGATTGCAGGACTAGACCTCCCTAGCAGGGGAGATCCAGAACCTAAATACAGTTGCGCTGAATGGCCCTTCCTTAGTTCCCGCACACCTCGGATGTTAGTGGCAGGTGTAACAAGACCTCCAGTGACAGTCTTAATGCAAGGATAATCTCATATGAGAAAGGTGTTCCTTTGAGAATCCCAAACTATATGCCGCTTGAGTCATAATCAAATTCAATTTGGAAATGGCTTTAACAAGTTCCTGGTGCTGAATTCTGGTCCGCAATCTGGATACTACATTCTGGATCAACTGAGGGATCTAGACACTTGTTAACAGAGCACATAATTGTAATCCAACTTCGTTGTGACTAAGGCATTTGTTGCCTTAGCCAGATCGGCACTGTTCTGGAATGGGTACAACTGGTACACTATATTGGGCAAAGGCACTCCAGTCCACAATGACCATCTGAGCATCCTGGCTCTAAGCCAGATCCAGAAATATCCTCAAAGTGCAAACCTGTTTTCAGGAACAGCATTATGGCACCCAAGATAGCTTTATGTTTTGCATTCATCCAGTTAAGAACCTCAATAGCATCTTTAGAAGAAGATGGAAAATAGGGACAACATTGGATATTATTCGCATATGAATGGTACCACTCTTCACATTCCAGGCCAATTTGCCCAGCAGCTTCATGCAGAAGTGAAGAGATCAGGAAATGGTAGAAATGGAAAAGCCAAAGAGCTGAAAGCACCACCTTCTGGAACCACTGTAAAACAACGTTCCCAAGTCCCATCTCAACCATTTAGTCCTGAAGGATATGATGGCTGATGGTACCAAAAGCTGCAGGCCAATGGAAACACTCTCCCTCTATCCAGCTCCAGGTGTGGATCACCTAGTAAAGCTACCAAAGTTTTTTCATTCCCAACACTGGGTTGGAATCCAAGCTGAAATGGATCCAAATAGTCAACTGGAGCTATTTGCTGTCTATTTATTCTACATTGTTTCACAGAAAATAAGCATAATTGTTTTATGTTAAATACAAATGTACAATACAGCAGTGATAGATCCAAGAGATAGAGCTACTCTGGCAGGATTTTTTTTAAAAAACATGTTATGCATGGTGTGTATATTGCTCTGTGATACCTTGCCCTTCTCACAGCAGGTAGGGGCAGCCTCTGGAGTTGCATGGTGTTTACCTCAGTGCTAAAAGGATTTCTTCCTTCCTGTCTTGGCTTGCCAATAGCTTATCCCAATTAATCATATGCCTGATGGAGTAAACCTGGTACCCATCTTCTGTTGGCTGCCTCTTTGTCACTCCCATGGTTTTATGTCACATTTTTCCAGGCTTACTCTTAAATCTGTAGTAAGATCCTGGACAGCCCAGTGTACCTAAATATGTTAATGCACATACTTTGTAAGCCCCAACTGAATAGTGTAAAATAGACACAGTTCCCTGAAATATATTAAATAGGTTATTTAAGAATAATCCCTAAAGAGATGACTAATCCTACTAAACCAGAAGTTTAAAAGAGATTCACAAAAATAATAGCTGATATTATATGAGCATGTGAATCAGCTGCTTAACAAAAAAAAAGCTCCATAATTTCTTCCAACATCTTACAGTTCCATTAAGTATAATTCCATGTACATTTGAATTGCTGTATCATACCTAAATACTGAAAAGTGGCTAAAATTACAATATGCTCAAAAGTAAGTTTCATTGTGTTCAGTGGTACAGGGCTACAGCCTAATTGGGTTGTATGTTCCAGAGGCCTATGGATAACCCGTTCATTAAATTATTTTGAATACAGTCACACCAGCCATCTTTGTCACACACTGAGAGACCTTTTAGAACCATCTTTCAAGGTTCAGAAAATAATTTTATTTTCAAATGTTCTGTCCTTAGAAAACAATTTCTGTACTGAGTTATTTGTTGAGAAAATACTGCACATCTAGTAGAGAACTTCTGGGCATTGCAGAGGATTTGGGAACACAATTGATTCATTTGCTGTTAGGTACTGCATAGTCCATCTTGAATTGAAAGCATGAACTAGACAGAATGCATAAATGGTGCTTTGTAGTTGCACTTTATAGGGACAGATCTGTTGTGGTGGGCAAGCTTCCTTTCAAGAAAACTTGAAAAAAATCCTACAATTTTGGGCATGCATACCCTAGACATGTAGCAATTTGTAGGAGTTTATTTCTGTTAAAAATATGTAGGGCTGCATCCTAAAACCATCACATTAAAGATGCTCAGTTTGAACAGCCTGGGTCAAACGAAGAGTATTAGCAATCCTAGAAAGATGTTACCAGCAAAAGAAGTAGTTTGGGCAATGAAAACTGCTTTTTTCTGAAACTGACGTAGTGTAGTCCTTACCCTTTAGGAATCTGCCTTGTTGATGGAGGAGGGAGAGAGGTAGAATAACTATAGTGAAGTTGGTTTGTGGGGTATTCAGTTAGCATGACAATGTGTAGACTTACAAAAGGGTCTTTCTGGATATTGAGTGAAAATGTAGTTTTTGGAATAAATGGCCACTTTTAACTGAGATCTACCAAGCAGCAGCCACCTTGAATAAAAGCCTTTACAGTAACATTCCACTATAGGGAATCATTAGTTACACCTGCCAAGAATATTCTTGCTTTACATGTAGCTAGCTTTAGCTTGTGACAGTGACAGTGCTCGTGGCCTGCCAAAACTGTCACTGAATTATGATATTGTATTGGAAAACATAATAGTACCAATGACATTTTCTTATATTTCAGCTTGATATGGCTGCAGATGCAGACTCTTGGATGGTGAAGAGTGGCATAATGAACACATGTGTCCAGTAGTGGAAATGTATCTGTAGGGTCACATCTCATTACAGGAATTCTCTCTGCATCTCAACAGAAGTGTTTGAAGCCAAATAGTAAGTCCTAGTATATTTTGAATATCTTTTAGCATTCTATGCTAGTGTTCTTAGTGTTAGTTATAGGACCTTGTAGTATCCTGTATCATTATTATCAATATTATCATTTTATTAAAACAATGGTATAACACAAATATATGCATCAAAAGTAGGCTACTAATGGATTCAGGCCTGAGGTAGACATCCTCTGGTGGACTGTGGAATTTACTTTCCATGAATTATAACTCCTTTGTGAATCAGCAGGTGTCAACATGCTGGAATCTTTCCACAGTGAACAGCATTTGCCGTGAGGTTGGCAGGTGATAGAAGGTGGGATATGGTTAACAATAGATGAGAAGTTAACCTTGCCTGAATCCATTGCTATTTGTACATTCAGCAAAGATAGACAAATC